TGGTGGAGGCAGGGGCGGAGGCCATGAGAGGGGAGTTAAATTAACCTCCCCTGAGAGTGGGAAGTGAGGAGTCTAAGTGAGGGCTTGTCTGGTTGAAGCCAGGACTCTATCTGAGAATAAGACCCTGTGTCCCATTAGTAGGCAAGAGAGAAACACTATGTCATCAGATATTCCAAAAGGATTCAACTGGGAGGAAGGAACGAGGCTGTGTGTGTTTATTTTTTATTAGAAAATGATGTAAATACCCAAACTTGTGAATGCCCCCGGGGTCCTGGCAAGATGCCCGAGATATCTGTAATCCTAAGAGATTACAGTTTGCATCATGCAGTCTGGGTCATTTCACTTTCTGCTCTTCCCCACCCCAGGGCTTGCAGTTTCTGCTTCCCCAGAAGGTCAAGGGCATGGCTGGTGTAAATGTGACCCTTTGATAGATGGCAGAATGCAGGCTGCCATCTCAGGGCTCCCCCCACCCAGTGTACCCCTGGGCCTGGCCATGTGGGGATCAGCTCGGAGGCAAAGAATAGGAAGTGATGACAGAGAAAGGAGGCGATCAGAACAGTGAGGGAGCACAGCTGCGAAGGGGCCAAGGCAGGGAGGGTGCGGAGGGGGGAAGCTGTGGTGACGTCCTGTTTTGTTCTTGCAACCAAGGCACAAATTAAGGCAAAATTAGAGACTTTCTTTGGGCGATTGGACGGATGGGAGGAGGAGGAAGACTGGGAAGCAGAGCTTTTAAGGACAGCAATTTGAGAACATCTGAGACAAATCTGTGGCTGATTTTTATTTTTTCCTGGTGGATTAGTTAGTGACTTTCTTTCTGTATTCCGGAGGGGTTTTTCCCCCCTTCCTTTCCCTTTCTGCACCATGCACATGTAAATGTGATTGAGGATTCTTTCGTCAGATCTGCTGCCTTGGCAGCCTTCCTGCCAGCTGGCTGGGCTGGGGGAACCCGTGCTGGTGGCTGACTGCCATTGACAAGTTCTCGCCGGCCTCGTGGGAGGAAATTTGCCTTGGAGACACCGCCAGACCCTTGTCTGGGCTTTGGTGCCCAGAGGAAAGGAGGACAGAGGGGACTCCCCCAGCAGGACTGGACCGCTCTCTGCCCACGGATGGATGGTGCCCAGGATAGCACCGCCATTTTGCCTTTGTCCACCCAGCACACAGTGACCAGCGCCAAGTGGTCCTCTGCATTCATCGGAGCACCGTCCCCACAGAGTCACCAGTGCCCAAAGTCCATCCTGAAAGGCCATATAAGCCACCCACCTTCCCCTGCTTCTAACCAGGGCGTTTCATCAAAACCAGGATGGACGGTGTGAAAGAGGTGTGAAAACGTTGCCCACTTGAGTGGCTGTGGTTTCTGGCCAAGTCAGTCTTTTGCTCCTGTTTCCATTCATTCTTCTTTGTGACTTCTCCTCCTTTCCCCACCCTGGCTTCAGGCCAGAGGCATTTGTTAGTGTTTCTTCTTACCTTCCTTAATTCCTTTCCACCACCAACACCCCTCCCCCAACCCCACCCTGGGAGGCACCTGACTCAAGGCTCACATCCTCCAGAGTTCTCTCCTGTAACAAAAAGGGACCCTGTGTGTAAACTGCTAAGCGTAGAGCCTGGCTTAAAGCACCAGGTCTCTCCAAGGTCGACGGGGCAGGGTCCCATCATGGTGATCTCTAGTGTGTGTGTGGGTCGGGGAGGGCAGTGTTAACTCAGTCTTCTGAGAACCTATTTGCTCTTCTTTATCTCAGGATCATAAGGCTACAGGTGTGCAAGTCTCCAGCGGCCCCTTTTCATGTAGGAGTCTGTGGCAGTCAGCCAGAGAGATGGTTCCAGGACCCCTGCCTCCTGGTATTCATAGTCTGTGTGAACTGCCTCCCCTGGAGATGGGGGCTGCACTTGTTGACTGGATTCTAAGGAACAAAACATGGTGGAAGTGATGTGATGTCACTTCAAAGACTAAGTTATAGAAAGACTAGGACTTCCATCCTGGATGAGCTTGCTTTCTCTCGTGGATGGACCCTGCTCATTGCCACAGTGCGTTCCACGTGCACCACTCCAGGTCCCCCTGTTGCAGAGTCAGCCTGTGTTCCCTCTGGTGTCACAGGACCAGTGGCCTGGCCTTCACCTCTGGGAAGCAGCAGGTCAGTGGCCCTCTCCTGTGAATCATACACCCCTCCTCCCTCTGTGGGCCAGGGGTGCAAATGGCTTAGGGTTGATGGTGATGCTCATCAGGATAGGGGCTCGTACTGGTCAAATCAATGATGAGGTGAAGAAAACTGTTTTATTGAGCATCTATGATGCACTCATCTTATCCAGTTTAATACTTGACAAAATCAGAGGAGTGGCTTTGACTGTGGAGGGCAGACTCCTGGGCTCTTTAGAGCCTGCTGATGCTGGTGGCCAAGAACCAGCACCCCCAGTACTGGCTGGAAAGCCTTGGGCATGTAACAACCACCAAGACTTAGTTTCCCCCTCTGTAAAATGGGGTTATCATGTCTACCTTCTCCAGGGCTACTGCTGCCTCCTCTTAATCTAATATCCACACAGCCTAGCCTGGGGCCTGGGGTCATAGATGCTCAATAATTTCTGCTTTGGTAACAGGTTGATGGGCTTCCCAGGTGGCTCAATGGTAAAGTATCCATCTGCCAATGCAGGAGTCGTGGGTTCGATCCCTGGATCGGGAAGATCCCCTGGAGAAGGAAATGGCAACCCACTCCTATATTCTTGCCTGGGAAATTCCATAGATAGAGGACCCTGGTGGGCTACAGTCAATGGGGTCGCAAAGAATCAGATGCAACTTAGCGACTAGACAACAATAACACGTTGATACTTTAATAGTTGTGGTACATTTGAAATACCTTCCAAGGCTTGGCACAGCAGATTTCTCAAAAAACTAGTGCCTTTTGCCCTGTAATGGTGGTGGCAGTCATGCAACCAGGGACTGAAGTTCCCTCTCTCCTGTCCAGCTGCATAACACACATGTGCGTGTGCATGAGCACAGACACACATGTGCACCCACATGTGCAGGCACTCACCCTCACTCCTTTGCTCACAGCTGACATCTCCGCGCCTCCCCTCCTCTGTCTTCCCCATCACCTCTTGCTCCCGAGCTCCTCCCAGTCTCCTTGCCAGCCCCTGACCCCACGTTTCCCACCCAGGAGCCCCCAGGTCCTCTCCCCACGCCCTGTCCCCCAGCATCCTGGGCTCAAGACAGATGTGCGGCAGCCCGCCATCTTCCCTTGTCACTCTCTGGCATGCCTGGCAGCTGGAATCACAATTCGCCTTGTTTACAATGCATTGTAATTGCAGACACAGGCTCTGCTGTCACTTGTAATTCTATCTTGTCCTCTTCTCCCCACACACTCCGTTGCCTAAGAGTCAGGCGGGTGCCCTTGTGAGAGGTAGTATTGGCAGGAAACGTGCTCCAACACCAACACCCAGCAAGAAACACGCTAGGCCTTCTCTTTCCCCACTTCTCCACGTGAGAGAGGAAAACAGGCCCAAACAGGACACGCCCTCCTGTAGTCCCGCCCACCCTGAACTTCCTTTCTGGTCCCTCAGTTCTTCTGGTCACGTGGCCTCCTGCTTGGACCTTGCTCCTACAAGTTGGGAGATTAGAGGGGAACAAACAGGAAAGTCACTTACCTCTTTGCTGAGCTCTGGAGGGCGGGGTGTGGGAACCTCCTGAAGACAAACTGCTCTCCAAAACAGGGCAGGGAGCTGAGGTCCAGGGGGTGCAGGCACAAGCTGACTCCAACCCGCGCACCTGAGCAGGCCTGGGGAAGAAGGCCCGCCCACCCTTGCCAGTCTACATGGACACGCTACCTAGTCCCTGCAATAGCTCTGCAAAGAGGGCATTAGTACCCCCTGCTCACACGTGAGGAATTCAGACCTCAGTGCCCAGCAGAAGGCCACCCAGCTAGTTGTGTCAGAAAGCAGGGATTTGAACTAACACCATCTAGCTCCCTGCTTTGTATTGGCTTTGCATGTGTATCTTTATTTGTGGGTGCACTCCATCTCTGGGCTCACCATATGACTTAGGATGAACTGTTGTCTGTTTGTTGGCTACTAAACCTCAGAATCCTAGAGCGCAGGGCCTACTTATTTCACTGACTCCTGTTGGCACCCAGCACAGTGGTCAATGCCAAGAGGATCATCCACATATATTTGTTAAGAATGTATGCATTCAGAAGGTTGGTATTTCTTTGCTTGGATTGCTGTCTTTCAACTGCTAAATTCTGTGCACCAGCCTTCCATATACTTGTTTCTGATGAACATGGGAAATTTTAGATGCATAAGTTTGATTGGTCTTAGACAAAGTTTAAGAAGAGAGGACAATTCAGAGTATAGGCTTCATGACAATTAGGTTCAAGCAAAAACAACCTGGAGTACCATGCATTCGTTGTTTGATTTGGTACATGAAAGGATTTTGGAGAGAAATTCTGGTATGTCCTGCAGATTCTTGGAATAAATATAAAGTTGTCCCATATCTGTCTACTTATTCATAGCATTTATGTTAGGATGGGGGAACTAGAGGTGGATGTCCTTTCAACTCTTTCTTCGCAGTTCTTACATAATGTTCTCATATTGTATGTATAACAAAAAAAAGTACTAATTTAATAAAGATTGGTAGCAATATTTTTTTCAAGGAAAATATTGCTGCATCTTGAAGGGAAGAAATGTACCCTGGCTTGCAAATCTGCAAAAAAAAAAAAAAAACCTAGAGCAGTTGGTAGAAAGGAAGGTGTCACAGCAATCAGTTCTCCCCTCTCCCTCGGCTGATGCTCTGTCCCTGCTCAACCACTCACTAGCTGTGTGCCCTTGAGCCACTTACTCAGTCTCTCTGTGCTTCCATTTCCTTGTTTGAAAAACTGAAATAATGATGCCTCTGCATTGTAGGATTTTTCTGGATTTAAATAGATCATAAAATATATGAAGAATGCCTAGCATAGTGGCTCATACTCAATAGGCCTTCATTTAAAGAGGGCTGTTAATACCATGGCTGTTTTGATGCTTAGAGAGTGTGGACAGGGTCCTGACAGAGGTTGGGTAGCTGGGGCCGGGTCTCAGCCTGAGACTCGCTGCTCTGCGTGGGCTCTACTTGGGGTAAACGGGGCTCACATGGTCACCACCCAGGCACGGCCACCAGCTGCTCACCTACTGGCGGCTGTCCCCTCCCTCCACATCACGATGGGCCTCCACCAGCTGAAGGCAACGAGAAAGCTTTGATGAGATCCAATTAGGAAAACAGAGTCTGCATTCAAGAGGGCTGGGCAGTTCATACAGAGGGAAGAAAAGACCCTGGAATTAGTCTAAGTACTCTCCTCAAATGTCCTCACACACTAAATAGTTAAGAAAGACGTGTCATTTAGCAGGACTGACCCCAGGGGTGTTTGCCTCTCATCAGCTGGGATGCTATTATTATTTTGCAAATGACACTTCCATCTCCAGCGACTGTGCTCCCCCTCACTCTAAACAGACACAAATGAATGATATTCAGAGATCGGCTGACTAGGGAAGAGGCTTGGCTGAGATTGAGGAACGGACTCCTGCATCTCCAGGCACCCCCTTCACAGGCCCCTGGATGGACTCTCAGAGTCTGCATGGACACCTCTGAAGGTTGATATTTCTTTGAGTTGATATTTCTCAGAGTCTGGACCCGAGTCCTCCTTCCCTGGATAAAGGGATGCTTGGTCTAGATGCTTCTCAGTACACTCAGCTCCATGTGTGTCTTCAAGATTATTATTTAACAGGAAGTCCAGTGATCAGCAAACATTTTCTCTAAAGAGCCAAATAGTGAATCATTAGGGCCAAATACTGCAAATATGTAACTTGGGCATTGTGGCAACACAACTAAAGGAATGACAAAGGCTGTGTCTCAGGAAAGCTTTATTTATAAAAATGGGCACAAGGGCCATACTGTGATGACCTCACATAACTTCTCCAGGTTTTCCTCCTCTGCCTGCCTCCCAGCACCTCCCTTCTAGCTCCTTCTGCTCTGCTCTGCTAGCCAGGACTCCTGTGGGGTTTCTGGGTGTCTGAGGGTGCCCTGGAGGATGACCCCTCCTAAGCCCTTGCAGATCTTCTATCTGAATCTCTGTGGCATGGCCCCAGGATTCTGCTAGGCTTCCTCTTGGGGCTGAAACTTGATTTATTCTCCCAGTTAATAGAAGGTTCAGCTTAGGCCCTCAGGAAACTTCAGTTCAGTTCGGTCGCTAAGTCCTGTCAGATTCTTTGCAACCCCATGGACTGCAGCACGCCAGGATTCCCTGTCCTTCACCATCTCCTGGAGTTTGCTCAAACTCATGTCCATCACATCAGTGATGCCATCCAACCATCTCATCCACTGTCGTCTCCTTCTCCTCACACCCTCAATCTTTCCAATCATCAGGGTCTTTTCCAAGGAGTCAGTTCTTCACATGAGGTGGCCAAAGTGTTGGAGTTTCAGCTTCAGCATCAGTTCTTCCAATGAATATTCAGGACTGATTTCCTTTAGGATTGACTGGTTGTTCTCCTTGCAGTCCAAGGGACTCTCAAGAGTTTTCTCCAACACCGCAGTTCAAAAGCATCAATTCTTTGGGACTTAGCTTTCTTTATAGTGCAACTCTCACATTCATACATGACTATTGGAAAACCATAGCTTTGATTAGACAGACCTTTGTTGGTAAAGTAATGCCTCTGCTTTTTAATATGCTGTCTAGTTTGATCACAGCTTTTCTTCCAAGGAGCAAGCATCTTTTAATTTCATGGCTGCAGTCACCATCTGCAGTGGTTTTGGAGCCCAAGAAAATAAAGTCTCTCACTGTTTCCATTGTTTCCCCATCTATTTGACATGAAGTGATGGGACCAGATGCCATGATCTTAGTTTTCTGAATGTTGAGCTTTAAGCCAACTTT